ATAATCACCTATATTCGCAGATTTTGATTGCTACTTAAAAATTCCTAAATTTAAGTTGATGAAACCTGCAGGAACCCAGATCAAGTGGCTTGAGATGAAAACCTGTTGTAAACTAAGGTTAAATGAATAAACTTGGATGGATGTGCAGTGGGTATGGAAAGTATTCAGACCCCTTTAAGTTTTCCCCTCTTTGTTTCATTGCAGCCATTTGCTAAAACCAATAAAGTTAATTTTATTTCTAATGAATGTACACTCAACACCCCATCTCGACAGAAAAAAAAAAACCAAAATGAATTTTTTTTTACACATTTATGAAAAAAGAAAAACTGAAATATTACATTGTCATTGAGAAGCTCAATTGGGTGTTCGTCAGGGCTCCGGCCTTTTCCAGTCAAGAATGGTCAAAGAACTGTTCCCAAGCCACTCCTTTGTTACTTTAGCTGTATGCTTAGGGTTATTGTCTTGTTGGAAGGCGGACCTTTGGCCCAGTCTGAGGTCCTTAGCATTCTGGATGAGGTTTTCTTCCATGATACCTCTATATTTAGCCACATTCATCTTTCGTTCAATTTCAACCAGTCATCCTGTCCCTGCAGCTGAAAAACACCCCCATAGCATGCTGCTGCCTCCATCTGTTTCACTGTTGGGATTGTATTGAGGAGGGAATGAGCAGTGCCTGGTTTTCTCCACACATACAGCTTACAATTAATGCTGAATAGTTCAATCTTGGGCTGCGCAGTGGCGCAGTGGGTAGCACTGCTGTTTCGGAGAAAGAAGGTTCTGGATTTGATTCCTGGGTCTTTCTTCATGGAGTTTGCATGTTCTCCCTGAGCATGCATCGGTTCTCTCTGGGTACTCCGGCTTCCTCCCGCTGATCAAAAACATGACTGTTAGGTTAATTGGCTTCTCTAAATTCTCCTTAGGTGTGAGTGTGAATGGTTGTTTGTCTCTGTGTTGCCCTGCGATGGACTGGTGACCTGTCCAGGGTGTACCCAGCCTCTCGCCCATTGACTGCTGGAAATAGGCACCAGCACCCCTCATACCCCCCCCACTTGGGATTAAGCGTGTTAGAAGATAGATGGATGGATAGTTCAATCTTGGTCTCATCAGACCCGAGAATCTTCTTTCTCATAATCTGGGAGTCCTTCAGTTGTTTTTTGGCAAACTGTGTGGGCTTTCATATCTATTGCACTGAGGAGAGGCTTCCGTCGGGACACTCTGCCATAAAGCCCTGACCGCTGTAGGGCTGTTGACTTTCTCCCATAACCGTACTAAATCTCTGGAGCTCAGTCACAGTGATCTTTGGGTTCTTCTTTACCTCTCTCATCAAGGCTCTTCACCCACCATTGCTCAGTTTGTCTGGACAGCCAGGTGTAGGGAGAGTGCTGGTCATCCCAAACTTCTTCCATTTAAGGAAAATGAAGGCCACCATGCTCTTAGGAACCTTGAGTGCTGCAGAAATTCTTTTGTAACCGTGGCCAGACGTGCCTTGCCACAATTCTGTCTCTGCGCCCTTGGGCAATTCCTTCGACCTCATAATTCTCATTTGCTCTGACATGCACTGTGAGCTGTAAAGTCTTATATAGACAGGTGTGTGCCTTTCCTAATCAAGTCCAATCAGTTTAATTAAACACATTTGGGCTCCATTGAAGAACCAGAACCATCTCAAGGAGGATCAGAAGAAATGTACAGCATGTGAGTTAAATATGAGGGTCACAGCAAAAGGTCTGAATACTTATGACCATTTGATATTTCAATTTTCTTTTTTAATGACATGCAAAAAAATCTACGTTTATTTTTTTTCTGTCAATACGGGCTGCTGATTGTACATTAATGAGAAGTAAAATTTACTTTTTTGACTTTAGCTAATGGCTGCGATGAAACAAGGAGTGAAAAATTAAAAGGGTTCTGGATATTTTCCGTACACACTGTATTTTGTGGTGATTCCATAATTTCTCTCGTAATCTTGTTTTGTGACTTTTATGTCCAGCAGAAAAATCATTCAGTTGGTTCTGCTGTAGTGAGGCAAATCATTTCCTAGTTGATGAATTTATTTGAATCTGTTCCTTTTTGTGATATTTTTATTCTTCACCACAGATGTCAAAC